TGATGAGAATTATTTACATATTACATAAATATTATTGTATACATGTAATTCGTAAAGGTTACTGTATGTTTTATAGACCTTTTCACGGTCAATATCGATAAACCCGAGATTGAAGTATATTTTAGTCGTCTTTGTAAACTTCCCATATCCACTGGTCGATCACGCAATGTCCTGAACTCTGGCCCGTATCATGTTTTAATAATTAATATTGACGTGATTGTAATTATGCCTACTATCACGTTATCTCGTTCGACTTTACACTTCACCGTGTAGGTTAATTGTCATATGCCTGTGTTAAAACATTACTTGATTTCATATCTTTCGATTACGAAAGATATAGGTAATATTAGATTGTAATCTAATATTAATAAATATAACCAAATTTAATATATTATGTATTGTATATTTTTAAATTATACAATATTTGATATTTATATTGTTATTACTTATTAGTGATCAAAAAATTGTTTTATGCAGAAAACTAAAGACGAGAGAGAACGAGATACTAATATCCCACGGGAACTTAATCTACTGATATAAGGAGGATATTAAATTAACACTGTTCTCTATGTAAAAGCTCGCGTCGATAAGTGGCTTCATTGCTGCGTAATTCATAAAAACAAACAAAATTCAAATGGCATTTTTATTGAGAATGAGGATAAATATTTGTCTTTGTCTTTTAATATGCAATTTCAATATTTTGTTTTATAAGTATAATAAAGAATATACTAAATATTATGACTGTGTATATTCGTTATTCGGTATGAACTTTGATCACCATTGGTACAACTGTGCCTTTGTTGCCGATGAGTTACTGCGCCTCCCTTCACGTGAACTCAGTGCAACGGTTTATCGCATTTCATTTAGGTCGTATATTATTGTTTTCAACGATAGCATGAGTTAGAGCTTGTTTTATCAAGCCAGCGTCCAGGCTTCCATAGAGTCAAGTATTAAATTGCTACTTGATAGTGTATTGGCCAGTTCAGTCGACAGCCGACTCTCATACAATAGAGTCGTGCGCGTTCGTATTAATATATCGCAATCTTGTTATTCGGTGCATGGAAAACGAAATCGACAGAATTAATTCATAATTTTATTTTAGGGACCAAAGTAAAATTGATGTTTGTGCCTCGATTCTGTGACTTTATACCAACCTTGTTATAAATAACTATTCAAAATAGATAGTTTAAGTGTCTTTAACTGGACTTGTGATGAAAAGCCTAAAATGGATACGATGATAAATATGTGGACGGTGGTGGAGCAGGTGCGAGTGGCCAGCAGTGCCGCCGAATTGGCCATCTTCACTGCCATACTTTACTGGTTCTTCACCTCTAGGTACGTTTTAATATGTCTTTATTAATATTTTTTTATATACATAAATATTTGACATTTTAAATAAAAACCATTTTTTCTCTTTGTTTTGATTTGAGTGACTATCTCTAACATGACTATGAGTATTGTAAAGCATTTGAAATGTAGGAAATTTAAAATCAAAATAAATCCCCCCGAAAAAGTCCAAAAAAGAAATAGTTTTATTTAATAGATTTTTGTTTTTTTTTTAGATTTTAGACTTTTATTACATTGACTAGTAACATACTATAAAATCAAATTTTGAAAGTCGACTTTAATCTAATCTGATTTTTGTATCGATATGAAACATTGTATGTATATACATATTATAAGTATGTTTAATCCGGATGTCAATACAATAATTTGATACCATCGAGCTGATTTAATAATTAAATCAGGAGATGGATACTGGAACTCGTCAATAACTATAGCAAAGCCTTACGGTTTGGACTCATGTGATCTGATTTGACAAATCCCATATATACAAATATTATAATCGCTCAAAAACCTTTTTTTTTAGTTTTTGTAAATTATAATTATTATATCTTCCCCATTTTACTCTGCCTTTGCTATTGTATACGTATAGTGTAAACTTGATGCTCAATTAATAAGCTACTTGTATGCGTGGTATATCAAGGTAATATGTATTGAATAAAGCGGAATTTAAGGAAGTTTTTTAGGGAAAAAGTGTAAAAGTTACTAGGAAAATTATGAAATTCAGAAGAAACTTAAAATGCTTTTTCTACATAATTTTTGTATGGCCCAGAGATAAATTTTATTGAAATTGGGATAGGACAACATCCCATATGTACTTTGTATTGGCATCTATAGTTCCATACTAATATTACCTATAAATGTGAAAGTGTGTTTGTTTGTCCTTCTTTCACGTCTAAACGGAGTGATGATGGGCTGGAGAGTGACATAAGCTCTACTTATTACCGCGGAAGATTATCTAATTCTCACGGGAAAACACGTTATAATACAATTCAAAAAAACATTTATGAAAAAAACATTTATTAAAAGATTGTACGAAACTACATTTTAAGAGATTTTTTGTAGTTTTAGCGCGAGCCAAGCCGCGGGTTCTGCTAGTAATATTATAAATGTGAAAGTGTGTTTGTTTGTCCTGCTTTTACGTCGAAACGGAGTTACGGACAGACGGGATTTTTTGTGCGGAGATAGTTGGGGGGCTAGAGAGTAACAAATGCAACTTTTTACCGCGAAAAATTATCTCATTCCCACGGGAAAACACGTTATTATACAACAACAAAAAAATATTTATGATCAGAATTACTTGAAACTTGATATTAATTCTCTTCAATACAATTAAATAAATACGTGTTTGAACATTTTTTGAAATTAATATCATAAGGGGGTAAAATAGAGGATGAAAGTTTGTATGAAACCTACCTTTTTAGAGTTTTTTTGTAGTTTTAGCGCGAGCGAAGCGCAGGTTAGTTAGTAAACTATAAATATAAAAGAAGTTTTTTCGTGAGCGATAGGTAAAATGTGATTCTCTGGTAAATTATTTATTATATTAATATTGAATACGAATAACGTGAAGTGGGTATTTGTCATGAATTTATTTATTAAGCTAACACAGAGTAAGTGTTCCTTTAATTGTGAATTCTAGACGTAAAATAAATAACGAGCTATTGTTAGAACTTGGCAAATATTTAATTTACATATTTATTTTGCTAGAAGTAAATGGTACATACAATAAAAATGTTTTTCAATTTCCATGAAACATGTGATAACTAAAAAGATACGCATTTTAAATTAATAATTTCATCCTTACAGGTGGGTTTTATTCTTAAAATTATATAATAAACTAGCATTGGCCGCGGCTCCGCCCGCGTTCAGATGACCAAAAACCGAATTCTTAGGTTTTACATATTAGTATACTCTTACATTGCAGTTATTGTATTTTTTCTCAGAAATGACACATTTTCCCGCGGTAAAAAGTATCTTATATGTTGGCCCGGATAACCAGTTATCACCATACCAAATTTCATCAAAATCCCTCCAGTGGTTTTTATGTGATGAGGTAACAGACAGACAGACAAAAATTCTAAAAACTATAGATCGGCCTCTGTATCGATAATAATGTTTATTACAATAAGATTTTCCAAAAATTATTTAATGTACAGATTCGGCTTAGTTAGAATTTTATTATGTGTATAGATGACAGAATATACATGGAAATATTTTTTCTATCTATCTACCTATATCTACGAGTACCCCACAGTTTTTTCAAGGAATCAAGCTTTATCTCTAACGTCTGTAAAAACTAAAAAAAACGTGTGTGTGTACTTATGTACGCACGTAAGAAGTTATACTTCTTTAGCGTAACAGAACAAAAATAGCTAAAGGTTCCCCGTATAGATCTCGTATGTCACAACTCTCTGTTTGTAAAAGGAATGCAGCTAACTTCATCATGTCGCTTTTTGGCTCTCTGTTTGCGCGCGCATTGTAAAAATTTTACTCTCATATTTTTTCCAAAGGTGCCAAAAGAAGTATAACTTCAAAAAATCTATAAAATAGAATTCATCTATGGGATCTTTATTTTCGGTTCGAAAACATTTAGATTTCTCTAATTATATTTTAATTATGTAAAAATATTCAAAGCCTGCAGATTCTGTTAAGTAAATGCTTTTTTTTTATTAGACTTCAGTACTTAACCTTGAGTATACTTTATAAGTACGTACCTACCTACCTACAGAAACACATGTTATTATGACCTTAAAATAAATGTCTATTTTATTTAAAAAAAGCAAGGATCATCTTCAATACGAGTACATTAATTACATAATAAATTACATTTACTTTGTCATCTGATCTCTATTATCTCGTAATAAAAAAAAATGACAAAATGTAAATTGAAAAAACTATAGAAAATATATTAATTTGAACATTTATTCTATATTTTTATATGCTAAACATATATTAGAGAAAACAAAAAGTGCGCCACGTTTTTTTTACGTAAGCTCAAATACACCTAACGCAGAATTTAAAAATTAAAATTTTCGATTGCTTTTGAATGTTGTTTTATGATACATTATAGAGTATTATTATATATAAAATTATAGAGTCAATTAAAATTTTATCACTTTTCGCTTATATAAATATTTCGACTTGCGTGTGCAAGAATTCTATTGATATTAAATTTGTTTTCCTCAATAACTTTTACAAAATTAATATTCCTTAATCGTAACCAAGATACAAAAATAATTGAAATAATTTATGCTATTCAATTCAATCTAGAGCTGTGAGTGGACTTCTAAGTTAGTTTTTAATATGTATAATATGTTTTATTAGGTAATTTGATTGTTACAGTCGTGTGGCTGATATGTTAGAAGTGGTGGGTGAGAGGGTTGGCGGGTGGTGTGGCGGCAATCGCGACTCCACCTCCCTACGACAAGCAGTGCGCGCGCGTCGTAGACAAAATGCCGAAGTATATAACAAGCTGGATGCCGAACTAACGGTAAGATAAAAGTATTTTTGATAATTACTTAAGTTTGTATAAGAAAAAAAAATCAGATTTTGTCATAGAAAATTTTTAAGACTAATGCATAACAAGTATATAGTGCTTAGCTTTATATATGTATTTATTTGTTCTTTTTATGTTTATTTTATCAGCCTTCTCTAAGGACTGGATCCTATATCTTCGTTTAAAAGGGTAATAAGGTAGTTGAATTTTTTGTAGAGTATGTGTTAAGTAATACAAAAAGAAGACCATTAAAGAAACTTATTCTACGATTTTTTATTATCTACACTTTAATATTGTAAATGCGAAAGTAACTCTGTCTGTCTGTTACGTTATCACACCTAAACCGCTGAATTTTGATGAATTTTGGTATACAGTTAGACGGGGCCTTGGAAAGGACATAGGCAACTTTTTGTTGCGAAAATAAAACTTGAAGGGGTGAAATGAAAGTATGAAAGGCTTTAGTCTTACAGAGCGATATTTTATAATGAGAATCAAGAGAAGCGATTATGGGAATATTATTTAAAATACACCCAGGGGCGCTTACGTATGCCAGTAGTATTGATAAACATAAATACGTAAGAGTGTTCTGATTAAAGCATATTATTTCTTTCAAATCAAGCTGCAAATTATATTGTTATTAGACAAAATACGTAACATTCAACACATTCGCCAATCAAAAACACAAAGGTACGCATGCAGAACGATAACGATACGGTGTCGCAAGTATTATTGCACCGCTTACAAAACTCGTGCTACCTTATATAACATCGCTCACGTTTCCTAGCTGATGTACCATCTTTTCATTTTAAATTAATATATTTATGTACCAACTAGCGACTCACTAAAACCAAAAGTAAATACTTTAAAAAATAAAGAATTATATATGCCTTACGTGAGAAATGATTGATTTTCCATACAAATTTCCACCCCACTTTTCAGTTTTCACCCCCTTAAGGGATGATTTCCGGGGTAAAAACTATCCTATGTCTTTCCCAGGGGCTCAAACTATCTACCATACCAAATTTCATCTAAATCAGTTCAGCAGATTAAGCGTGAAAAGGTAACAGACAAACAGAGTTACTTTCGCATTTATAATATTAGTATGGACAAGTTGTCTTAAACATTTCTTATACTATACGAACCACAATTTTTAATACTCTCTTTATATTTCTCTATGTGCACATAGTTATTAAAACATTTTCAATTATGTATTATTTTTTGATATGGTTTTTACAAGGACTAGATTTTTACATATAGTATTAGTTGGCTCATTATATCTATTTGTTATCAACAGATTTCTTATCCGAATTTTTACTATAGATATGACTAAAATATCTTACTAAGAACAAATAGTACTAATCGATATTTTAAATGTGATAAATCAAATTTCGTAAAAAATAATCATTGTCTATGAGTAAGACTGAGTGTATGTGTGTTTGTTACTTTTTCTCACAGAGCCACGAGCAATAACTAGTAATATTTATGTATAAATAATATCTTTGGACTAATGACAACCTTATATTTCTCTATATACCTTTACTAGCGCCTTACTGTTGCTTCGCTCAAGTGCTTCCTTTGTTGCCTAACAAGTAACAGTACGTCGCCTTAGTGCTTATTCGTTCAAACTTTAATTAAAGACATATTTTCGAGCTAATTAAAGTAAAATGTGTATTTAATACCAATAGAATTGACATTTAAAAGTCAATAATTCTGTATTAAAAACTATTTGGTAAATTGGACGTTCGGACAAATAAGCACTAAGACGCGGAGAGTAGCCTATGTGTTACAGCATTACCGTCGTCGGTCGTATCTGTACCTATACTTAATTTCATCTCAAACCATCAAAGCGTTACAGTGAAAATTAGCTTCAAACATACAAACACATGCACACATACAAACATTCGCATTTATAATAGTAGTCCGAATAAAATAAATCAAATTTGCTCAGTAATTCTTAAAATTTAAAGTTTTAAACCCTATTACCTGCTTGTTACTTATCATCCACTTATCCAACAGAATAGAGCGTCGTCCTTATACCGTCTGAAAGAGAGCCCTCAAGTGCCGGCGCCACAGCCGGAGACTCGACCGCCAGCTGGCCTGGCGTGTTCACGGTGTGCACCTCTGTCAAGGGTAAGTTTACTGTTCATTTATGTGTTTAGTCCTTTTTACCATCCCACTGCTGGGCACGGACCTCCCTTCAATACGAAGTGGTTATAGACTACCACGCGATCCAAGTACGGTTTGATACTTGGCAGTTTCACATAACAATACATTTCGCTTCTATTATAAATTATAATTCATTATACTAAAAGAAATTGCTAATAATTCATTGTAACGAGGAGACAATGAGACTTTGTCAAAAAAGTTTTCTAAAGGAAATAACAAAGCGCATTGCACTGAACTCAAAAAAATAGTTGTTTTTCTTATGAAAATGGATAATTCGTTTGTGAACTTAACTAAGATTTAACTACTATATTATCTTGTCCGTGTGAAATTCTTACAAAATATATAATGAAAACGCATCTTTCAAGCAACGATTAACATGTGGATTTTTTTAATATTTCTGTCATATATGTATGTACATATACGTATATACCATATAATATAATACCCTCGTAGATGTGTTGCTAATGACAGTAAATCTTACGAAGACTAGCCATCTACGCCGGAGATATTATAGGATAATAGTAGACACTAGACAGGTGTGTGCGTAAAACAGCGGGACATTAATTTCATTTCGCTCTCATACACCGGTGTGGTCCACAACTGTATATGCTAGCCACTAGAAAAGCAAGGCAATTTATATGAGTCGAGCCACATGCTTATTACGTTACAGGATAAAAAAGTGGGAAGAATGTTAATGATATCTCTTCTTGTGACAATATAATATCGCAAACAAATCAGGACACATACATAACTCCATACAATGCAATGCCATTCAGAAGTGTTATAATAGTCATAACTGACCATAGTCCTATTAATATTATAAATGCGAAAGTTTGTGAGGACGTATCATGGATGTCTGGATATATAGATTTACTAGCATTGCCCGCGGCTCTGCCCGCGTTCAAATGACCAAAAACCAAATTCTTAGGTTTTACATGTTAGTATACTCTTATATTGCAGTTTTTGTATTTTTTCTCAGAAATGAGACATTTTCCCGCGGTAAAAAGTATCCTATATGTTGACCCGGATAACCCGCTATCACCATACCTAATTTCATCAAAATCCCTCCAGTGGTTTTTCTGTGATGCGGTAACAGACAGACAGACAAAAATTCTAAAAACTATAGATTCGGCCTCTGTATCGATAATAATATTTATTTCAATAAGATTTTCCAAAAAATATTTAATGTACAGATTCGGCTTAGTTACATTTTTATTATATGTATAGATGGATGTTACTCTTTCACGCAAAAGCTACTGAATGGATTTTAATGAACCTTTACTATGATATTGCTCATATATCAGAATAACACGTAGACTACTTTTTGTTCCGAAAAAATGTACGGTTCCTGTAGGATAGATTTGTTTTTGTATCTCTAGAGGCGAACCCGAGCGAAATGAGGGTGAACCACTAGTATAATTTTATTATAATATTTGTATAAACAACTTATATACATATATTATAAAAATAAGAGATACATAAATTATATCCCAAAAGATTAGCGAAACTGTATTCTAAGTTAACGATTAAATAATAAGCTTAGAATTGTATGTTGAAATGATTCGTTTTTGTAATTAAATTCAAACTAAGCCCAATTTGATGTTGTTATCTTAAATTGTGTGAGGCGATTTTTGATAAATGTTGCTACTTAATTATAGTAATTTATTTCTTATGGGTTTATTTAATTTTGTTTATTAAAATCATCAGAATGATCATGATGATGATGAACCTAATCTGCATTAATGAACATATGTATTCAGCCCTTTTTAACGTTTCTGTTCGCGGGCCTCCGTTCAATACGAAGGGCATCAAGCTATAGTCCACGCTGACCAAGTGCGAGTTGGTGGACTTCACATGTCTTTCGAAAACTTGCTAGGTTCTCTTAGACAAGTAAGATAAGTGGAATTGATTCCCATATGAAAATGAGATGCGAGACCGAAAGTAGGGATTTGAACTCGCTTCACTCCCGTTTCCCAAGCGAGCACTTTACCACTAGACTACCAGTGACTTCATAATTTACAATTTTTACTCACACTATTATAAAAAGAAACAAGTCAAAACGCAGAAAGATATTTTTTTAATATTTGCGTGTAAAAAAGATACTTGCAGACTTCTGAATATTATCCTTAATAATATACATTACATTATTATGTAAGTACATTTACAATATTAAATTTGAGTATCTACCGGTTTCGGTTCTTCTAGTCTTACAGTCATATTTTTTATATAAAAACGGCAACGAAGGGTGACCTTACATCTCTTACAAAATAATGTTAATACCTATGTAAATATAATTTACAACTAAGCATGATGATTTATTGCACATATGACTAAACAGTGTTTTATCATTTTTCTCAATGCGTCTTAGGTAGTATGGTCTAATCATGTAGGTATTTTATTTCCATCAAAATATTGAATACCAAATTTTCGTGGATTGTCATCTTCTAATTAAGTCAATTTACTAGAATTTTTCTCCCTTATACAAAGTACTTTTTTTACATGATTTATAAATTCTATCTTATCTTATACCTTTAAACGAGCAATTCTTGTATATTTATTTATATATACCAGCGATTTCGGAAATTGCTCTAAAGATTTCGCTGAAATTCTTATGTCTAGGAAAACGCGTGTTTTCGAGTTTTCATGTGGTTTTCTTTCGTATTGCTCCACGCAAAATATGGTCGCTAATTTCGCACGCTCGGGCATAAGCATCGTTATTCGAGTTTTTAGTCCTAAGTTATATAGTTTATCATCTAAAAATACGATATAACAAAAAAGAACTCCGAGCGAAGCTCGGTCCCCAGGTGCTAGCTTTAAAACCTACTTTAATCAATGTAATAAGTTTAATTTTATTAATTTTATTTATTTATCTGTACTTTCGTATTAATAAATAAAGCTCAATAGATTGTTTGAATGCGCTATCTTTGCAACTACGAGTCGGATTTTTGTATTTTCTAACTTATTTATTGAGGAAGGTTGTAGACTATCTAATTAATTTACGGTACGACCTCAACGAGCAAAGCAATTATACGTAAATAACGTAGGCGGCCGAATCCGCAGGCTTAAGCTCTATTATAAAATTTTACGCTGTTTATTCGCGCTCGCTATTACTAGACGTAAACTTATTCTTGCCCATCCTTCATTAATTCTGTAAATCAATACCTAACATATAACCCTCTTTTGGGCTTCGCCGCAGTCGGGTAAAAATAAATGAACACCAACTTATCTCAAAATCTTACTGCTTAGACATAAGATATTGCCTGCCTGCTGTTTTGCATAGTATTTCACAATATTCTAGTAGAGTTTGTACTACGAACTAGTATTATGATTATGTTAATAATATGTTTAAAATATCTTATTTCCAAATACTATAATTATATATATTAGCAACTCACGCTAACATGTTCGCAGACTTTAAAAATTCTGAATCTTTTTAGTGCGCAAGTAGTTCATCTTTGGGTTTTCAATCTAGAAATTGTGAATTTAAAAGAAAACCAAGTTTATTTCATATTTTAAAATAACATTTTTTTACCCGTTTATTTTATTTACTCATCTTTATACAATCTATTGTATTGACAATATAACGTTTGCAACATAGTAAGTTTCAATAGTGGGAATATGATTCATCTACACATATAATAAAATTATCAACCGACTTCAAAAAGGAGGAGGTTCTCAATTCGACTGTATGTTTTTTTTTTTTTATGTTTGTTACCTCAGAACTCCGTCATTTATTAACCGATTTGGACAATTTTTGTTTTGTTTGAAAGGGTATACTTCCAGATTGGTCCCATTTAAATTTCAAAAAAAAATACCACCCCTAAGGGTGGAAAAACAACTAATGATGAATTTAACCTACTTCTAATTGTCATATTGACTTGAAACTTTGCAAGTATTTCTATTTCCGTTGATAGTACAGTGGTTCGGTGTTGTTGACCTGATCTGATGGCAAGGCCAGAAGGTGGATAGGTGGAACTCTTCAACGGCTAATAGTAGATACTTTGAGTTTGGGCTTATTTTGTTTGATTTGACAAGCCTAACACGTTAGAATCCTTACTTTGCTACTACTGTCTACACTAAAAAGGGAAAAATAAAAACTTTTTAACAAAAAAATAAAAACCGACTTCAAACAAAAGCACTAAAAAGTAACAAATAACTGATTGGTAGTTTTCATTTACTATACATACCTAATCAAATATTTTCGAAGTCGGTGTGCTTTGGCTAAGTAATTAAAGCCTACCTATTAAATACATACCTAATCAAATATTTTCGAAATCGGTGCCAGCCCATACAAAGCTAAGCACACCGACTTCGAAAATATTTGATTAGGTATGTATAGTAAATGAAAACTACCAATCAGTTATTTGTTACTTTTTAGTGCTTTTGTTTGAAGTCGGTTTTTATTTTTTTGTTAAAAAGTTTTTATAACTAAGCTGAATCTGTACATTAAATATTTTTTGAAAAATCTTATTGAATTAGACATTATTATCGCTGCAGAGGCAGAATCTATAGTTTTTAGAATTTTTGTCTGTCTATCTGTCTGTTACCGCATCACAGAAAAACCACTGTAGGGACTTTGATGAAATTTGGTATGGTGATAGCTGGTTATCCCGGGCAACATAGGATACTTTTTACCGCAGGAAAATATCTCATTTTTGAAAAAAAAACAAAAACTGCAATGTAAAAGTATACTAATATGTAAAACCTAAAAATTTGATTTTTCGTCATCTGATCGCGGGCGGAGCCGCGGCCAATGCTAGTCTATTATAAAAAAAACTCCAAGAATAACGTTGGAAGATAAATAATAAGAGGGACATGATAAGTACATATGTTCTTCTTGAAAAAGTGGATAAGTCATGTTTGTCAGTGCAGATGTGTTGTGCAAGGTGCATATATTTGTTTGTTTCTTTTTGTCTTGTAAATTGCATTGTTGATTTTTTAGTTTCGTCATCAGTTTATTGTAT